GGCTCATACGGCGTTTTCCCTAAGCCCGGCAGAATGGCAAAGGTATTTTTACGAGCGGGAGCATGTTGTAAGCCCATTGATCAAAGCCATCACCGGCACAACCTCCTTCACCGCCCGTTCTTTGTACTACCTCATTATTACGTGTGCACCTTTTCGGGAGTTCTTCCAAAAAGCGGTGGTCCCAGCTATGTACTATTTTACGCTAATGTTCTTTTAAGTACGGTTTTGCGCCACGAAAGGTAGCTTTTTGACTAACGGGCGGTGATATATTTTCAAATGACCCCTGAAAATGTTTGAGCCCTCGTTTATCTACGGTAAGCATTTTACAGAATTTCGCTAAGCAGTTGGATCAAATTCTATGTCCTCATGATAGATAAAACTTGCAGGTCCTCCCACATCCTTTAGAAATTTATATAGGCTCCCAGAAATCATCATGAAGCGCCATTATACCGGGGTAGTAAGTCTTTGAGTGATTCAGATGCAGCTCAAAGCAGGGTTTTAACAACCCATGCGACGCGCAGGGCGCACTTACCCAATTTTGATCACCTGGATCGTGTGAATTCCAACATAATTGGATTCGCCCCAAAGACTGATGTCTCGCCTCAAAGTTTGCCCCTTTCGGCTCGTAAAATCTTTGAAATTATTCGTTTCCTAGATGAAGGAATGTAACTTCATTCCAACGTTTTAAGCAAATCAGTGCGTAAGCATGATCGCTTCTTTCAATCAATTCACTTCTCTAAAGATCTAGGGTTCATCCGTTTAATCGAAGCAAAAATATCGCGATCTATTGCATACTTTAAATGGTCCGTTTCTGTTGAAATAGGGGAGACCGGGGCACAGTGACCTGGGATTTTTCCTTTTGCTTTCTCTGCTCTTCCTGAAGAGGTTTCTGAAGATCTGCTATGGGGGGATGATAAGTGTACGTCAGTACCTTAAAACCCCTGGAAGTTTCAAAGGTCTGCACCTATTAGAAAAATTGTTAAAAATCCAAGAAAGTTGAAAAAAATTTTGGCCACTGTACCCCAAGGCTGGGGCACAGTGCTCACGGGACTAGGGCACAGTGACCATTTTTCTTGTGAGTGGCCTTAGGAACCCTCTCTACCCCTACAGGAAAGGAAGTTCGACATTTCTTATCCTGGAAGGGAAGGANGGAAAGAGATCAGTGTGCCCCGGTAGGAGTTTTCATAAACATAACCTCATAACGTGATGATTCTGAAATAGTGGTAAACTTTTCAGTACAGGGTAATACACCCAAAGACATGTGCATTGGAAAATAGCAAGTAGATTTTCCTTGATTCATAATGTTAACGCCAAAAGTAATGAGAAATTAAATATTTAAAATGTGCAAAAACTTCCCTCAAAATAAATGACCTGTTGTCAGTAATTTCCGTTGTCAACAAACTGGGGATGCACAGCATAGAAATGAAGTACCTATAGAGGGCTAACACCACACACAAACAAATGTTTCTCCGAGACAACCATAGGAGCGCTAGCGTCGCTTTGTTCACTGTGCCCCGGCGGTCACTGTGCCCCGGTCTCCCCTACTTCTGGACGAAAGAACAGTTCAAATGAGCAATTTTCCAAAATCCGAGCCCATTTCAAGCGCATCTCATTTAACTTTTGGGTAATTATTAATGAAGGAACAGTTTTTATACGCGTTCAAAGTTTTATACGTCGATTAATCGATTACTCGATTGTGAGGTTATGAAAAATCTAAAAAGAACTCAGCTGATTTAAAACGTATTCATTTCTGCCCTCACGCATTGCCATATTTCAACTCGCCTCCGGTCGACTAAATAGATAAACTATTCGAGGGAACATTGAATCGCTTATCCGGCACCCGCGGGCCGGAGATGAAGCTTGTTTAAGTTGACTCGAGGAAATCAGTTTTTCATAGGAATATAGCTTTGTAATTTTTTTTAAAAACTTTCGCTGATTTTTGAAAGTTTTGCAAGTGATCGGACAAAAAATTGGTGAAATTTTCGGGTAGAAATCGCTAGTAGCTCCGTGGGTAAAAATAAGATTCGCAAGTGGAAATTGGGCAACGTGGAAATGTAGTTAAGTTTTTCCGTCGACGAACCGAGCACAAGATGTTTCGAAAACGATCTCAAAGCGCTCAGAAAACGCATCAAAGTCCCTAAAGCCATCTCGCGAGTATTTATGCCCTAAAACGCGCTGGAACCAGGATTTATTCACCGTCAAGACGCTCATTGCAAAATTACAAGCTCATGAATTTCTCTCGGCCGGGGAAGTGAGATAATTCATTTTAATTAGACGAGTTCAACGAGGCATTAAAAGTTTCAGTAGGCGGCGCCGGCGATGGCAAACAAATATGCCACACGCCGAGGATGACACCCAGTGCCAAATCTCCAACTTCTCTTTTGAAAAAAATACGGAATTTCCTTCTACCCCCCGAATTTCGGCAAGGATGGAAATGGTTGATGGGTTGCGTAAGTGTGGTAAAAGTTGATGATGGCGTTATGCCCGAGCTTGGAGGATACAAAACGGTGGCATAGCGAGGGGAGAGGGTGAGAGGGTGAGAGGGTGAGAGGGTGAGACGGGGGAGGGAGAGAGGCAGGAGCGAGGGGTGGCATTTGTTCAACATGTCACTTAAACACCACCGACTCACTCAAAGTCAACTGTTCTCACCAGACCCAGATCCGGCTACCCAACTCAGGAGTATCACCCGTGCCGTTTTCTGTCCTCGCTATTCGAGGTTGACGCGATCACAGAGTTTTAAAATTTCCAACATCACTTTATCTTGTTTACGAACGCAAAAAAGTTTCAGAATTTAGAATTTCAGATACCTACCAGGCGCGAGAGATCATGAGAAATTTCCTAGAACTCGATTAGGCTTTTCCATTAAATATAGTAAGACGAGAAGTTTACAACGTTTAAAATTGGAATAAAATGAGTTAATGCTTGTAAATTAGTTCGGGAGACAGAAGTTTGCCTAAAGCTCCCGGATGAGGGACATATAGAAGTTTGTGTCCCTCACTTCCTATCGCTGCAATGTGTGTATAAGATGGAATGGGGGGGGGGGGGTGCTTCAAATGCTGTTGTACATCCTTAGTAGATGAAAGACATGCACGAACTTTTAGGTCTCAGACACGGGAAGTTTATGTGGACTCATATTACCTAAGCCTCCGCAACCTGTAGGCGTCGGCTCATTTTTTATGTGAAATTCTCATGTTTCAGCATCAATAATGATGTATGGTCTCACTTAGTGTGCGTGTTCATAGTGTGTTTCATTTCTTCAATCATGAAACTACACAACAAGAAAAAAGGAATCGTTGTCCGTTCAATGCTCAAAAAGGTCCTCCCTACTTTTCTGGTTATAATTGTACAATGTTACTTTTTTCGGGTTATGGCAATTCATTCGGTGCCGGTATTACAATGCTGACCTGGACGGCACTGTTACTGACAATGAGATCAAAACAATAATGGGCCATTGGACAAAGTACGAATTTAGGCTGTTTCTGCTCAAAAATTTCACTTACAACAGGACTTGCGTAACGAAAAAGATTAAAATAGCTCGCAGCTGAGATATTAACGTTTCTATTCAGGATTGGTCAGGAAAAATGGTAAGTCTCTATCTTCGTAGTGAGTTTGCTACCTCTGCTGAAAAAAATCGCACGTTGGCGCCAGTGGCGTGGCGTGAATTGCGATGTATCGATTGTTGTGCCATTTAAATCTATAGTAAAGAATCGATTATTAAGGTGTTCGCTGCAAACACCCTGTATATCGATCCTTTTCCATGGGTTTAAATAACAACCGATATATCGCAAAAGCACGCCACGCCACTGGTTGGCGCTGTAAAACCGATAACTTGCGAGATCAATCATCAGATCAGGTTTATTAAGAATACTAAGAGAAGTAATATCCCTCTGTAAAACCCACCAACGTGGCAACACCCTTTCAAACAGCGTCACGATTAGTCCACAAGCTTGAAAAATATGGAATTTTACCAACGGAAAAAGCAAGTCGAGAAATAGTTTAGTACCGGTTTTTACGAAACGACGACAGTTATAGCGCTGCAATGTACTGCCCTTCGATATTTCAAGCGCATGTGAAGTCTGCTTCCTTCGGATTAGGTGCTAATGCCACCTTCGCAGAAGAATGGTAGCTTTCTCGTCGGCTATTCTTAAAGAACCGCTACGTTGTGAATCGTGACTTGCAAACATGCACCAGAGGTCATTTATAAAAGTTTTCATCAAGCTCCACTGAAAACTTGAGTAGCCTGTGTCACACTATCAAAACTAGCCATCAAAATATAAAGGTCAGGTGTTGTGATTGGCTTATCCGATGACTTGGACCAATCACAGCCCGTGACCTTGGAATTTTGGTGGAGTATTTTGATAGTGTGACACAGGCTAGTGAATACGAAAGGTTGCATTCAAGAATCAACTACTTAGTTGCCGTGTTACCGAGAGAACAATAAATGCCCAAATTTTCAAAATCGAATCGTGAATAAATCGTTAAATTGTTGTATGAATTGTGAATTTGACTTGTGCCAGAGCTTTTTACTATAGGCTGTATGCATCAATAAATTCTATCTATCTAACAAATCACGGATTGTTAGGTGTACTGCAATTTGTATAAGACACCAATGCACAAACGACGATCTGGTGTAGAGTGTCGATGAGGCATGAAATGTCTAGTTTCAATGCTGCTTAGTTTTCCGTGAAAAAAATGAAAAAAAAATGAGACTTCAGTGAAAAGTAACTGACGTCTGATGAAGTAAGGTTGTTTCCAGCAAAATCCGCTCATTTTATCAGCGAAGAATGCATCGAAAACTCTGGACGTTTTTCTGAATAAATGGAACTGCTTCCCCGTCCTTCAGTCCTTGAAGGCAAAATTTTGATATTCAAGTTTTTGAATACGATCTCAAATTTCTGGATGAATAGGTTTTATGAGAGCAGACAGTGAAGTGAAAATGACACAACGACCCTCATAAAATGAATGGACCCTGCAATCTTTTCAAATATAGAGAACTTTACCTGTAGAACCCGCAGTCGTAGAACTTGTGAAAATGGATACAATGTTTCTTTGTACTGGTGTGTCCAGAGGGTGGACATGCGATCTTTGCTAAGTTTCGTCACGTACTGAGGAGCTTCATCTCCCAGTATTAAAAAGTCCGTTTTCACTGACTCCTTTCTCTGGTTCATAATTCTTCCTGAAACACATTTGAGAACGTCCTCATTATGAGTGCAGGTGCAATACTTCTCTTACAATGGGGGAAAAAAGTAGGACATTGTAATGCGGTATTTGAATATGTTCCAGAATAAAATCTGGGTTAACGTACCAGAAATATTTAAAATTTAAGAGCTTACAATGTTATCTCCCGCGTGGAATATTCTATAGAATTTTCTATAGTCATTAAAATGATCCAAAATATTGCAAGTCTAGGTGGAGCGGGAGAATCACACATCCCAAGTTGTAACGTTCCGGACTTCCCATCAAACGATTTTTCTTTTTAAATTGAAAAACCAACGATGATAGTTTAGTTAGAATTTAAGCAATTTTTGAATTTTGTTTGAACAATTTCTGAGGGTAAAAATAGTTCAGTTCCTTTCGAAAAAATTGAATATGAGCGGAATAAATGTTGAGATATTAATATAGTGTAGTATGGCCATCGATATTAAATTGCTCCATGAAAATCTAAATTTGGCCTGTACTTCCAAGTTCAAAATTTTGCTCTTGGAATCAGAAAAAGTCGAAAAATTTGCTAAATTATAATGTTCTTATTCACTTTTTTTTGGGTAGAAAACTTTGTTTAGACTATCAAAAGTAAAAAAAAAGAAACGTATTACTATTGCAATTATCAGTAACTCCTATGAAAGCCTCTCGTCGAAAACTGTCGATCTATACTCACAACATATCTCCTATCTGATCCTTGTTAGACTCTACGGAGATATGGAGAAGTACTAAAACTGAAGATACAATTATTTTAACGCCCGTGTAGCTAAAATTGTTTAACCACCCAGATGAAGGCGCACAGGCGTTCCACGCTGCTTTCACTTTCACTCTTCGACACGCACCGGTGATTTGATTGTTTTTTGGCGGAGGAATATTGTTTGCTACTTCACAATCACGTCATTTGTTTTTTTCTTTTCGTTACGTATCTTTTACCACACATTTATCATTACTATCATTATATTTACATTATATTTATCATTATATTAATCATCATATTGTATTTATCATTACACGAGCAGTTTAAAATACATATATACAGCCTTACATTTGTTAAGAAAAAGGAATTCATTCAGCACCATTCCAATCGATTACTAACTTCAGTGGAATGGAACACTAGACCAAGTAACATTATGCACCGCATTTGTTTAAGTTTCTTAGTTAAAATTTCGAGTAAAATAGCCAGTCAGCTTAAAAACTTACGAATTTAATCGGTATGAGAAAATTTAATGAGAACATCTTAAATTTTCTTATCGATCAAATTTCGCCAAAGTTCAGGAATTCTCCTAGACTTCAACGTATATATGGCTACAGTTGCTGATCGTCTTATTTAATCTATCTATATAATTAAAACTCTAAGGCTTGTTTTGTCCTCATTCAATCTCGGAAACTACTAGACCGATTTACCTCGGGTTTGGTTTAAATAGATAATCTTAGGTTCTAAATTTGGCAGCACCCGTCAGTTTCTTTTAATTTGCGCCGGAAGCGAGTCATTTAATTCATTTTCTCGCCAACATTATTACCTACGTTCGGAAACTGTGTATTCGTAATATGAATTGATAGGTTTTCTTGCATGAGGTGCGTTGCATCACATGATGGTGACCAAATTTTCATTTCATGCGATGTAAAACTGGGAAAATTCTTCTCAAAGCGGCAACGCGTGGCTAAACCCGCTTTCCGCTCTTTTATCAAGAGCTTTGACACAAAATACCGGCATCATTCAAAGCTTGCGAACATCCGAAATCTGTTCGCAATATCTGAAGCTCATACATTGCACGTCCGTCAACCTCGCTCTTTTGATAACATGGAAGCTACAAACACTTTCCATAGTTAGAAATACTCCAGCGGGGAGTTTTGAATAAAATATGTGTGTATTAACGGTTCACACTCCTCCTCATAGCACTTTCTACTTTCTCTCCTTGACCATCCTTCCTTCTAGAAAGGGACGACTCTTTGTAACTCCATGTAGAATTTCATGAAACATTTAGGATAAATTAAAATGGGCTCATAGTAGCGCATACATTAATTTACAACAATTGAAACTTACATTTAAAACGTAATTCAATTTAAAAGAATGCAGGTAAATCCACAATTATTCAGTTAGGTTGTGTTCAGGGATGGAGGAAATTCTTATCGCTTTTGAATGTTTTACTCTTTTTTTTGTATTCATTCTCCTCCTTCCCGTGCATGTACGTTCATTTTAAGGATGCACTTCAAAATTGGAAGGTACCTGGTACCATAGGAGAACGATTAGAATGATATTTTTTTTATTTTAGGTAGGGATAATTTGCATGAGAAAAATTTGTGAAAACTAAAACACAAATCAGCTCTGTACTCGAATGTTGAAAAGAGAAAATAAATATTATTTCCCAATTGTTCATACGTACATTTTACTCCGAAACAAGAGTTACTCGTAGCGCAATCAATCCTCGAAATTTAGTTTTATTTGCGTTACCTCCGGGTTTTAAGCCTTGAATCTGGTGAAAAAGAAAGAAAATTACCACCTATACTGCGACACATACACACACCCTCCCCGGGTAAAATATTTGAAAACAAATCGTACTCGAATTGAAACTTAGAAGTCCCAATAAAAGAGGTGGAGAACGACAAATTTAATATAACTGAGAGTTAAGAAACCGACCTTTTAGCAAAATATTTCTGTTTACTATGAACATGGGTCAAATGTTATTTATCTATAGATTTATTTCTTAATTTTCTCTTTTTTTTAATAGTGAAATGTCACTCCATGTGTAAAAAATACCTATTTATCATTTTTCACGTGAAATATTAGAGAGCAAGCTCGTGTAAAAAAGGCTCACTGATTCAAAGCTCTCTGCTGCCCCATTAAATAGAGCGATAAAGAGGGATGCGCAGCGTGATGGAAGGTGACGGGTGCGGTGGTTTTGGAGGGTTAGCCAAGCGTCAACGCTTAATCCAGGGCTTCGGGCAACGGTCGGTCGGTCAGTTCCTGCGTCGCACAGTGAATCCAACCAATCAGAGAGCTCGGAATTCCATGTCCGAACTCTCTGATTGATTCGAAAAATGACGCCTGAAAAACTGCAATTTTTTCTATGTTAATTTCGTTACATGTTGAATTTAAAGAGGTGCCCCTGGGAAAAATCTCACGAGAAAGTCGATGGAACCACTTTTAAAACCTAAAAGTCTTGTATAGACGATGTTATGAGCTTTTAAAGTTTCCAAATTTTTTTCGGCTTCTCTCATTGACTCGATCCACTGTGCGCAGCGCCGCGCGCCGCACCGTGCGTCATGCGTCATGCTAATGCCAGTCCTCTCCTCTTATGAAGATAAAGTAAGTAATGAGCTTAGTTGTAATGAATCATGGAACACGAAGCCTTAAAGCCTGTATCGTCTACTCCGTGGATTATCGTTACGTGTGGAATGACTAGTGTGCTTTTTGAGACTTGCTTTAGATCTTCACTGCAATTTTTTAGACCAGTTTATGGCAAGCAAAAGACTCGGAGACACTCGAATTTTAGGACAAATTATCATTGAAATGATTAATTTTTTACAGCTACTCAATTGCATTTTAGCTTGATCACTGAGCAATTATTATTCATCGGTGGGAAAGTTCTGTGATATAACTGTTGCTGCCCGTAGGAGCACGTCTTGCATATACCAGTAGATGAAGGCGATTCTGCTGGTGAATACGCTGAGGCAACTTACAGTCCTTTTCGGCTGACATCTGTGTGCTCTATTCAATATATTTTCTTTCAGATGAGATAATCTGTGACCGGAGGGGTAAAAAAGAGACATCAAAGACTGAGTAAGGATATCTAGCCAGTAAGAGAATTCATTACCGGCCGGTTAATTCTGGAAAACTCTTTTAATTAATCCTATTTATCTAAATATTCATCCGTTTCTTTATTTGATGACTAAAAGAAATACATGCAAAGGAAATATTTTTTTTTTTTTTCTTTTCAGGGAGGTAGTGTCAATATAATGAAACTTTTACAGGCGAGGCATATTAGCCAATAATGGAAGTAAACATTTGTCGCTCATTAGGTATGAGTCACCGAATTTTTTAAATTATAAAAACAGTGGTATTTAACTGTCACCTTTTCATTAAAATGCTCGCCCCATTGGACCAAAATCTAGTAATTTTATAGAATCGTTTTATTTATTTTTTTTTGGGTGGGGGGAGGTGAAACTTTGTAAATTTTTGAAAACAATCAGAACAACACATACAATCAACCACAAATATGCGATTGCCCGCTCAATCGCTCAACGACGCGACGCGCCATCATCGCAACGTGATAATTGATATGGAAGCGACTTCCACCGAGGCGCTGCATACAACTATTCGTACCCGATGGATGTGCGTATTGCAGGAGCATTTAATTGAAGGCGTTTTAAATTTCCTCGCGCTCACATGCATCGACTCGACCGCGGGACGCGTAACAACTAACGACCGTATTTTCTGCGTCCATGGTGTGCAATCGCACGTCGATAACCAAAACGCGAAACCACGTATCTACGACAATGCAGACTTCTTACCATTATTTATTTATTTATTTATCTATTTTCATTTATTTTGTAAAAATGCGGATTTTAAACGAAACCGTTCGAAAATAGAGCAGAAATTCACCCAGATTTCACACGATTGAACTCGAATATAATGATCTGCGAATATTGTCACAAGATTCGTGTATAATTGCTGGGCAACGTAGCGAGGACGTCCCCATTCCCATGCCATGAAGACTTGACTTCGGAGTAGCAATATTTTTGCAATTCCACGCACAGTTTTTTATGTTAATATACTCAACGGCAGGCATCAGGACTACACTTATTTTTGGTGCAGTCTCGCAACGTTGACAGGAATATTCCTTCGCTGAGCTTCCAATTTAATAGCTTTGAAACCGCAAGATAACCTGAATACAAACCGCTGCGGTGGAGCGCGGGAATTGCTACAGAATCTCTCGGCTTAGAGATTCTTTTGTCGCTTTCCAATCCATCTAAGTC